GCTACATCTCCAAAAGCTCCTGGCCCGGAAGAGGACTGCTCCAAGCACTTGTCATTGGATTTGCAAGGTTTCCATGTTAGTAGAGCTTGCTCCGTTACAGCTCTCGTTGTCAGGAGCAATTTGTTTGCCCTTTCTGTTTGCTTGCTCAGACTGCAAAAAAGCTCAATTGCCAGCGCTTTGATCGAGGAGGCACCACCTCTTCCTCCTCCAGGCTCTCCGCCTTCTGATGATGAGGTGGATGAAATGGCTGTCGGTCGGTTTCTATGTTCAGGGTATACATTGATTTTTGTCCCTGCAATTTCTTTCATCTGAAATGTGAAATTGTTTTTTTTTCAGGATGATGCGCCCGGTTGGATGGGAAAGCTGTCCAAATCTGTGCGGGAGAAGTTGATCGAAGATCCTTACGTTGATAGAAGCTCAGATGGCGATGCCTTTTTGGTGTACATGCCAGATCCGGACATCCATATTGAAGTGCGTGACAGTGTCCCTCAGATATACACCGGTGAAAACTAACATGTTCGCCAAAAAGAACATTCTTTATTTTTTTTGGCATATTGTTAGTCTAGTTTCCGAGCGGACACCGTTGAGACTAACCTAGACCAAATTCAGATGTGCCATGGTGGGCCCTACGGGTACTTGGCATGGTCCATGTTAGCCTTCACAGGGCTATGTTGACCTCTACCGGCGCGGTCTATGTCAGCCTGCGCTCGGTTTATAGTCAGATTGCAGTTGGTCCATGTTAGCATCAAAATCGACCAAATAGACTGAGAGTGGGAACGGTCCATGTTAGTGAGGGTCCAGAAATTGGCCAAAAAAGCGCGAATACCGTTTCCCCAGGAAGTCACCGTTTCCAGTGGTCCGTGTTAAAGCGCACTTGAAATTGAGTTCTGGTCTATGTTGTTTTTCCCCGGAGTAAGCCTTGAAACAGGCAGCAGTTTCCACATTAGCGGTTCAGTTCTTTTGTTTTACTTGTATTTAAGGCTTACAACTATGACTTCAAGCCGTTGGCCAATGCTGTTCTGGCTTTGGCGAAGAACAGACGCGGGGAGGAAGAGGACCTTGACGGCAAGACCGTGAAGCATTTGAGGACAGTGGCGTCTGCCCGCAACATCAAGGTACCAGCAAAAATGAACAAGGCTGGCTTGTACAACCACCTTGTCCACAAAAGCTGTACCTAAGCCAGCATAACTAAAAGTTTTCTTTCCTCCAACTTTGCTGAATTCTTTAATGGAAAGTTCTTGTCCCGTGCACTGACACCCAGCAATGCTTCCAAGGCCTTCGCTTGAAGGAAGAGCTGGAGGACTGGTACCAAGAGAATATGAGTGGATCCAACGAGTTGAAGCCAGCAGAATCGACGCCGGCAGCACAGGTGCCAAGCTCATCTTCAACTTCAATTACCGGTGACAAGCCGCAAGCTTCCACAGCAGCAGAAAATCCTCACTCCACGGGAACCGCCAACCCTCAGCCAACAGCGGCTGAAGCTGATGTTCCCAAGACTTCAGCAGCAGGTGAAGACTTGACACAGCAGTTTGCTGCCGAAGGTGCCATGCAAGTTGTCGTCGCTGAGAATGAAGCGCTACCTGTTAAAGATAGATTTCTGAGCTGTGAGCTGGTGGTCCCTGCAATTTCTTTGAAAAAAATGGCGCTTTGCTTGATGGATAGCTCAGACCGCAGCAAATCCTACGCCGCGGTGCTGGGATTGGACAAAATGACAGTGTACAGAGTCGGGAAGCCATGCTTGAAGTCCATGATCGTGGGAGATTTGTTGGGGGCTGACAAGGATAGTTTTTGGGCATCGGCTACCAAGCATTTGACGACCAAGAAAGTGGGTGCCGTCATGATCTTTGACAACTGCAGTGAATCCATTGAAAGTGCAACTTGGCCACAATCACCGGCAATTACGCTAATCTACACTCTGACTCACTAACATGGAAGTGGAAAATGGTCCATTGGAAAATTATTTTTCTTTGGAAACAAAGGGCTTTCCACTTCCATGTTAGTGAGTCGGAGTGTATATATAGTTCTGACAGTTGCTATGTTAATTTAGTTTTTTCGGCTGCGTGAATTGATTGGGGACAGCCTGTGGTTAGTTTTTGGTCAGGTGCTTGAGGACATGCCCCTCACACTTGATCGTGGTGAGTTTCTCTACGTGTTCAAGATTCCTTCAGATGGAATTCTTGGAGAAGCACACGATGAGTATAAGAAGGTTGAAATCCTGAAATTTGATAGGGATATGAATGCCATTCCAGGGCCCTCTGGTGCGGAAATATTCTCGGTGGGGCGATTGGGCACTCTTCATGGAGGTTTGCTTCACTTGGCTGACTTCAGGGCGCCAGCTTCGAGATCTGATATTGCAGCTCTTCAATTGGTTGATGTTGAAGGAAAGATCAAGAAGTCGAGGCTTGTAGAAAACACGTGTTCATGCCTGAAAAGAAAACCACTAACATAGATATTCTCAAAGACATTAAGCTAGCGTCCAGCCTTCATCCTATAGTTCCTTTACAGGTGTGTGGACGCAATGGATTTAAAACCTCCATGACAATTGCCATGGTAGCGGCTTGGGTATATGTATGTGTTGCGGGAACGCAAGCTTTCAGTAATCGGACTCACTAACATGGAAGTGGAAACCCACTGTTTGTAAAAAAATAGTCCTCCAAGAGACCATTTTCCACTTCCATGTTAGTGAGTCAGAGTGTAGCCACGCCAACAGGTCTGGTATTGAGCAGACAGAAGCAGCTGTTTCCAGCAAAAAACAAAAAAGAGAGGAAAGAGTAGCTTCTCATCAGGGGAGAGTCGATTTCTATGAAAGGAAGGTCAATGATGCGACGCGCTTGTATTCCGTCTGGAACCAGATATGGTCGTCTGTGGCAGATTCCAACACCAAAACGGCTGGACAGCAGTGGAATCAGTTCTTTCTGAGCATTGCTGAGGAGGATTTGGACACAACTCCACACCAGTTCCTTGTGGATGAGGTTGAGTTGCCATATGGAAAGATGCTGATGGAACTGGCGCTGTACGTGTCCACTCTTGAAAAGGATCTCGAAAAACACAACAAGCAGTTGAAGAATTCGAGGAAAAGAAAGCACGAGACAGAGCAAACCATCCAAAAGCAGGATTCCAAGGCATTGGCCAAGATCCGGATTCTTCAGGATGAAACAGCGCAGAAGGCAAAAAGAGAGGAGGATCAAAAGAGGAGACGTCAGATCTGGCATGCCAAGCACCAGTTTACACGGAAGTCAGGCCGTCCTGGACAAGGGCCCAAGAAAGCCCGGAAAACCAAGGATGGAGGTCAGTGGGAAAAACCTTTGTCCAAGCAAAGGCGGATCATCACCATTGAGGACAAACTCAAGGTAGTTGACTACTACCTGCAATTGAAGAAGGAACGCCAAGAGGCAAACAAAGAGGTGTGTGCCCCAGAGCCTCGGTCTGGCAAACCGGAAGATAAAAGGGCTTACGTGAATGCCAAGAAGAAGGCTAGGCAAGTACTCCGCAGAAACATCCAGCGAGAGTGCGCTGAGAAATTTCCGCACATCTTGGGAAAGGGACAAGCCTGCAAATGGCATGCAGTCTCAGAAAGGGAACAGTGGAGACACCTACCAGCACCAGTGCGATGCCGGGTCTCAACAACCGGGAACTCATGGCGTCTGAAGCTTGGTCTTCCTCTCAGAGGTCGAGCTCAGGGTGGCGGAGTCCCTTGGGCTTTGCAGGTTGAACTTGACACACTGATAATGGAAATGACTGCGGGGGCCAGTGATGTCAGTGAGCGCCGTGATGTGGTCACAACCGACCAGATTGCAGCTTATCTACCAAGTGCTATGTTTGTTGTTCTTGTGGGTCGACCCGGCTTCGATGAGTGAAGCCGTCACAAGGTGTTCCTCACTAACATGGACGTCGCCAACTGAAACCCCCTTTTTGGTAGATCACATGGTCTTCCCAGAGGTCATTCCTCATTTCCATGTTAGTGAGTCAGATGACACACCCAAGAACCATGTCCAAGACCAGGACACTATTTCCAAGTGCCAAGCGGTTCTTGGGTGTGTCATCTGACTCACTAACATGGAAATGAGGAATGACCTCTGGGAAAACCAGTTGGCGACGCCCATGTTAGTGAGGAGAAAAGAATTGGTCACGAACTGGAGAGACACTACCAAATCCTTAACTGGGATTGGGGACTGTAACCCAGCTCTTGGTGATGTTAGTCATGAACAATGTTTCTGACTTTAGATTACTTTCGCATTTGAGATCATTTGTTTGTTCAATTCAGGCAACCACAATCCAGAACCTGGTCCAGGATTGGAACAAGAACATTGCAAATGCGATTGACAAGGTGAAAGCCCACAACCAGATGCTCTCACAAGAGATGGATGCTGGCAGGCTGTCTCCTCAAACAGTCATGCAGCAGTGGCTTCCTGTGCCCACGCTTGTGCAGCAGCCGTCAGTGCAATGGGCAAGGTGGTTCCTCAAGGAATTTGGATGGTCATTGCTTGCCCGGGGCGATGGATCTCAAGGCTGGCTAGCTTACAATCATTGTGACATGGTGGCGACACGCGCAAAGGTCGAAGGCCTCATCTCAAAGCGTGGATGCCATCCTGCTCTCATCCTGAATTATGATCAGTTGTGGCGGTCTTGTTACCAATGGGGTGGCCGCCTATTGTACAAGCACCGCAAAAACAAGGGGATGCGGGCCAAGAAGAAGAGAGCCCCAAAAACAATGGGGAAAAAGCACCACGCTGTCAAGGGTGCAAGGAGAGGGATCACTGCGATCACCTCCACGTGGTCGGACGGTTCGCGGGGACCGATAGCATTCTGCATACCAGAGGGCAGGATGAAGGTGGAAGAGATTTGTGCCTTCAATTCACGGTATGAAGGCCGTGCTTTTGTCCTAACTTCGGGTACCGGCACTCACTTTACTTCAGCAGAGACGATGCTGACTGTCTTTGAACAGTTGTACTCTGTGGCCTTGCAGAATCAGCGCCATAAGCATCTTGACATCGGCTTTGAGTCGTGTCATCTGATACAAAACATAGAAACTGACAGATGTGTTTTTTGTAAATAAGAGTACTGTAACAATGTGTTTCACTCTACCAGGTGTGTCGCACCATGTGCCATGTTTGTTTGTTATTCTTTGCTTGTTTGTTTGTATTTTTTTGTAAGAAAACATACAAAAGGTTGTACAGGAGACACAATGTTCCATGTTGGTGACGCATACTTTTTCCCTTGTCCTTTTGACAAAGAGCAAAGGCACTCCCTGGACGAGAAGTCCAAGGCAGCCTTCATTTGCGATGCTTGGACTGGCTTCTTTTCAACAGCAGCTGGGCAAGGGCTTCGCCGAGACAATTTCTACAAGCTCCACAACATCGAGCCACCGTTCCGCCCACCTGGTGGCTGGAGTTACCATGGGCAACCATGTGATCAACTTCACAGTTGCTTCCGGAAGGCCATCAGACGGAAAGACCTTTGCAGCTTGGGGATGGAAGCCGACTTGAGGCATCGCCAGCGCCACTAGTAATCACTAGTATTCAATTTCTGCTGACAGTTTCCATATTTGTCAGGTTCTAGAATCTAGAAGTTAATGGTGTTTGTAGCCCACAAAGCACCTCAGCACAGCCGTTCTCCGATTTTGATTGCAATACACCCTGGAAGACTAACATGGAAGTGGAGAATGGCCCCTTTGGAAGACTATTTTCCACTACAAACAGGTGATTTTCCATTTCCATGTTAGTTTTCGGGAGTGTAATGTTTGCTTGCATGCTGAGGTTTCGAGGATCTAACCATCAAGGCCTCCGGACAGGTGGCTTTGGAGGTGAGATCTCATATTGAAATCTTGAAGCTGACGGTTTCGGCCTGGGAAGAGCTGGAACGAAAGGTTTTCCAATCTGCATGGCTTTCTTGTGGGTACTTCAGTTGGGAGCACATGGCAGGGTTTGCAGAAGCGGGAGAAGAGGAAATCACCATTGAAGCGGCCCAACAGAGTTTGAGCGACATGTTTACACCACTTGGGAAGCTTTGGACGCCTCAGAGATGTCGATCCTATGAATGGCAAGTGCAGGACTGTCGGATTGTTTTCTGTAGGCGCTTACCAGTTCCACAAACATAACAGCTTGTGTGGTTCAGGTGCATTTATAGTCTTGTCAATTTCCACGTTAGTGTTTCACTAAATAAATAAGGATATATATATATATATACACATACGTACATACATACATGCATGCATGTGCGCATGCATACATACAGTCTTTAAACAAGTTGCTTAGCCTTACCTACAGTACCGTTCCAACGGTCACTAACATGGCAATTGAGGATGACGCTGGGGTGTGGCAGGCTCTGCCATATGAGATAGCAGCCGCCTTTGTTCGCACACTTGCTATTCATTGTCATGAGCTTCACGCAGCCAAGCTTCTGTATGCCGAGCAGAAGGAGAAAGATGAGTCTGAATCCAAGCCAGATACCATTAAGGCCAAGGACTCATATATGAAGCTGCGGTCCCATGACCGGTTCATCATCATGAATGCCAGGACTCACCAACTCGCGACCCAGGATTGGGTCACGAGGCACATTCAAGCAAATGAGGCGGGCGTTCCTGTCTGGAAGAAAGACCGCAAAGGGCGAGCGCCCTGGATCATGACACTCCGCTATTGTGCTCATGGGGTGTCCGTGGATTTGAGCGTGAGGCTTACTCAGGGGGACCCCCTTCGCAAGCTTCGTTGCTTTGATTTGAGAAATCAGGTGGCCAGAGATCGGGGTGCAAATTTGATGCAGGGGTATGAGCACTTGCTCAATCACTTCGATGATGCTTCCGGAGAGGAGATGAATGATGAGAATGACGGGGACGAAGAGTCTTCAGAGACACAATTTGGAGATGAGATGGGTTTGGAAGGCTGGTTTTCTCATTGACTGAAAAGTACTGTGCTGTAAGTACTACTGTGCACACTAACATAGAAATGCTTGTTCAAGCGCACATTGCACTGCGCAGGACGGTTTATAAGCACTTTTCCAAGAGTACTTCTTTTGTGGTAATATGAGGGTTGCTATGTTAGCCAGTAGCCATACATGTCAGGACAAGAGTATGGGCAGATGGCGCTAGCAGCGATGGATCCAGCACCTGCAGCGGCAGCAGGATCAGACAAGCAGCCTGAACCTTTGGTAGGACGGATGGACCCAGAGCAGGAACTCCCCGCCAGCACACCTGTGGACCGTGATCAGTTCACCGCTATGGTTGTTTGCGCAGAGGATAAGTCAACCCGCTTCAAGCCACCGCCAAGTTTCCTGGGTGAGAGAGAGAGAGGTGTCTGCTGCTCCTGTAAGACTAACATGGACACTACTTTAGTAAGGAATGGAAACCATCATCCAGGGGGCCATTGTTTGTGTCCATGTTAGTTTTCTGGAGGCAGCTTATGCTCTAGACATGGAACCCACCGGATATGTATTTTTTTACGAAAACTTTGTTATATTTTGTTATATGGGTGGGTACTTTATCAGTTTCCATGTTTATTGTTTGGCAGGGTGATTGAAACAGCTTCAATCTCCCACCAGGTTTCTTTACAAGAGACGCATACCGTCAGCTGGCAGATGAAGGGCTAGTTCATCTTCCTGATGCGATTGGCGTGGGCATCTACTACCACAAATCCACCATGCAATGGCACTCTGCTTGGCCAGATGGCAATCGCGCCCCCAAGTGGGGCGACAACTTGCGGAGTGAGAGGGCTGCCCTGTTGTTGGCACTTATCGGTCTGTGGTCATGGTACACAGGTTGCACTCCTGAAAACATGCATGCCAAACTCCACTTAGATAGGTTGCAAGAAGCGCTGGCTGCCACAGGAGACCATTGATGGAAAAACACTTCCAAACAGGTTCTTCTCAACAGACTTTGGTTCGGCCTACAAAGTACTGTATGTCTTCTAATTTCTACCGTCGCTTGTGGTGGCGGCAGTTGAACCTCGGAAACTAAGTAGCACTAGTTAACCTAGAAACCTCCCCGAACAATGGCTTGTCCATTTTTTTGATTTAGGAGAAGCCCGTGAAAAGCACAAACGCAGTTTCTGCTTCGCTCAGATTCCGAGGGTTTCTTTCCAGGAGCGTGTATGTGTCAGGGTGGGGTTGCTCGACTTTGTGGAAGCTTGTCTCTTTCCATGTTTGTTTTCACCTTTTGCTGTACAACAAGTGAGAGCCAACCACCTTGCCATACGAATGTTGCACAGATGAGCTTTGGAAAGCATGGACTTCTCAGTTTCTACATTTGTTGCTCTGAGGGTTGATCATGTGAGCCCCTTTTTAGAGAAAACCTCGCCGCTGTGAATCATGTTGTCATTATGACATCCCCACTCACAAATCATCAAAAGAACAGCAATCCTGCTTACGAGGAAACTGATGTTGCTTCCTTGCATTCCTGTTTCAAGAAGGTTCTCACCTCTGATTTCAGAGGTTTCTTTGTTTAGATGGCGTCTGACTGTCAAGGCAGGTAGTTGGGCTGGCGGTTCATTTTTTCATAGCTGAAGTGAACCACACCTCAGCAATCGTATATAACTATCATGGAATCCCTGAAGTATTGTTCTTTACTGTAATGGTCGGCCCACCTTGCCATTGGACAGGTTTTGGGGTGTTTCACCAAGAATCAGAAACCGGACAGGCCTGAGAGGCGGAAAATGAGCTAACATGGCAATGCTCAGTATGAGCTTTTTAAAGGTTGTTTGTAAAGAACCACAGCTTCAACACGCTAACCTAGAAACCAGTGAA